AGCCTCTTTTCTCGACCCCACGAAAGCCCAGGAGCTGCAACCTACGTGGATTTCAATCTTAACCTAAGAGGGCTGGTGTGGGAGTGGGAGAGAGTGGAATTTGAGGATCGAATCTTTCTATATCTTGTCCCCTTATACTAGAAGGGACGTATCTCTTTTATTTATCATTTCTTGTTATTGTATTTTTCTCCTCCTTATTAACTTACCCACCCCCAAATGAAACCAAGTCTCCTTTCCCTGGAGACTAACCATCCCTGGCTAGTCTCCAGGGTAAGGAGACTTGGTTTCTCCTCTCTCCATTGAGAGTAAGCTGATGGTCTATCTGCCTATCTGCCTGTAGAGACTGGAAGCTCTCAAGAGTGGACTCCAGCTCTGCTCTACCCACTGGCCTGGTGGGCGTCTCAGTTCCCCAGCTGCTGGGGTTTAGCATTAACACTCACTATCCTTGACATAAACGACTAACTAGAGCCATTTATATTCATCCAATATATCTGGTCACCTTGAAAACTGCCCACCTCTCCTCTGGCATATTTTCAGGTATATGGTGCCAGTGGACTGGTATCTTTTGCCACCTGTTAGTAACAAGGCTCCCAGTGGAAGAATAAACATGGTCTGGAATTAAACTGGGAAGAATAGAGCTGATAATGATGATTATGGTGATGTGGTGGGCAGCAGCACTGGGGAGAATTAAGAAGGGGAAAAAAAGGGAAGAAGAGGAGAGAGCCACACAGACCAGGACCGTATGGGTACAAAAGTCCTATTTTAAGATTACTATCAGAAAACAGACGGCATGATCCTGTCTGGATTGTTCTGACCCTCCCTTGTTTCTCTCCCCACCCTACTTGAAGCTCTGGGATAGCCTTCGAGATTCCAACCCTACCCTCTTACTCTACTCTTGTGGCTCTTAGTGGAGAGGAAAAATGTCTCCCTGCCAATTAGAGACTCTCAAAATAGCACAGCAATTTGATCTGGGGATCTGGGAGAATTGTCAAGGATCATGAGTGACCTCCCCTCTTCCCTGTTGCCTAAGCTCCTTGAATACCAGTAATCAAAAGATAAAACTCAACTAATGAAGTTTGACCAGCATCCAACACAGTCTGGGGGAGAGTGAAAGGGGAAGCTGAATGGCAACCAGGACCCTCTGCATGCAAACTGCCAAGCTAGAATTGCCAAAGTATCCTTCTCTATTTCAGTGTTCTTCCCTCCCCTCTTCCTGCTCTTTTAAAACATCCATAGAGCTGCCCAGAATGAGTGGCAAGTTTCAGGGTCAGGGAGAACCTCTTCCCTCCCCCACTTTCCATTGTCTAAAATCAGCCTCAGCTGTTCCTAGATATTTTTTTGCTGGTGATGTCAGTCCATCAAAGCATCTCACCCTATGTTCCCCCAGAAGAACAATGATCGGGTGGAGGGAGCTTTTAGAAAGACCATATTAGGAACAAAAGGTGGAGCTATAAGCACAGATAAAGACTCAAGTCTGGGAACTCCTGGTCACGCAGGCAGCAGCCCCTTCTTTCTTGCCCCAGTCTCCAGTTTTCCAGTGTTCACAGGTGAGCCTACCAACAGCCACTGCTCATGATGGAGGCCATCAAGAAAAAGATGCAGATGCTGAAGTTAGACAAGGAGAATGCTCTGGATCGGGCAGAGCAAGCTGAAGCTGAGCAGAAGCAGGCAGAAGAAAGAAGTAAACAGGTAGGCACTAGCACTGGTCTTATCTGCTAGTGAAAAAGACTGTGAGATGGAAGGGAGTTTTCATGGGAAAGACAGTGACTACTGGTATCACCTCGTTTTTGGGGTGGGATGGACTCCCCAGCCTCAAGAGGACATGTAACGTATCTAAGACTGCCTTTGTGACCTTGGGAAAGTCATTGGCCTCCTCTGAGCCACAGTGTGTCTGTTGAATTTAAGTAGAAATGGACCATCTTCTGGAAGAACCCTTGACTTCTAGAGGAAAAGGTAAGAGTTCTTGAAGGAAAGGGCATCTCTTTTCATTCAGTATCATGGGCATCTACACCTTTAGACATTTACTCTCCGAGGGTCTTGGATGAAAACCCAGGATGGCTTAGTCATCTTAGGTTCAGAGATTACAGGGTCATAAGCCAAGCTACAGCATAACTCCCGAGGCAGTGGGCTGGAAGTGGCTGGGGAGAAAGTGTGTTTCTGGGGATGGTAACATGGAGGCTACACTCAGGGCTCCAAGAGCCCAGGGTCCAACCCTGCATTGTTGTGTTTGTGTGTTTTTGTGTGTGACTCTCTGGGCTCCTATAGCTGGAGGATGAGCTGGCAGCCATGCAGAAGAAGCTGAAAGGGACAGAGGATGAACTGGACAAGTATTCTGAAGCTCTGAAGGATGCCCAGGAGAAGCTGGAGCTGGCAGAGAAGAAGGCTGCTGATGTGAGTATTAGAGAGATGGTGGCTGGGTTTGATCTACACATATAGATCTTTATATTAATGTATGACGAAATGCCAAACACACTTGTGGGTTCATGGAACCCAGACATATATATCCACATAAATTTTTGCATATAACCACATGCTGGTATATTCTTATAATGGCATATATTTTCTTTCTTTTTTTTTTTGAAAGACAGGGGTTCACCATGTTGGCCAGGCTAGTCTTGAACTCCTGACCTCAGGTGATCCACCCGCCTCGGCCTCCCAAAGTGCTGAGATTACAGGTGTGAGCCACCATGCCC